TTAATATGATATTAAAATAGGAGTATATATCTTAAAAGAGTTTACCCATATTAAAATTTTAAATGTATTAATTTTTATAAAAAATAAATAAATTAACATTAATTATAATATTTATGACGTATAAATATTTTTTATTAGATAATTAATAAAATTAATATTAATTTTTAATTTTATCATTTATATTAATAATAAAAATATTAATAAATATATTCTTTTTTTGTGTCTTAGAAAAAAAAAACTGTTTATTTATTTTTATTTTTTAGTAAAAAAGTACAACGTTTTATTGGGATATTTTTTAGAATTTTAAAACGTGGTGCTAACTCACTCGGGGCGGACGTGTGGTGATGGTAGTTCCCAGAAAGAACTGCAGATGGCGCGTGAAAAACGAGAGTGACGGAGAAATAAAAAAAAAAATCAGTCAAAAGCAAAATACCGCGAGTGAAATAGAAGAAGTGAGAGAAGTTATGTACGTTCAAAATATCTCGAAAGCGACAGTATAAAAAAGGAGGGAGATAGCTGGTGCTTCGTGGTGGAGCCCGACTGGACGCGTGTGCCGAATATTCACTAGATTTGAATTAGTGGTTTCGAATCCGCTCACATGTCTTATCATATCACGATATGATAAGCTGAACCACCAATTGATAACTAGAGTTACGTATCATGATACGTTCTCTACTTTCATGATAAGTGGACTTACCTTTCACTGACGACTGATAGGTTAGTAGGAAAGGAAAGACCCATGTACAACGCATCGAAGAAAGCGAGAACAAGTCTCTCTCTCCTTTATCTTCTCCTCGCAGCCTTTCGAATCAAACCCTAGAAATCGTCGGATTTGGAGCTGATATAAAACCCTAGAGAGCTCTAAAATGCGTTGTTTGATCTTGTTACTGGTTTACCTGACCTGATTTGAACTTGAACTCGGTTAATCCTGCGGTTTCTGGCTCTGGATTTGAACCGGATTCCGTTTTCTTATTCTGGTTCCTGGTGGTTTCTGCTCTGAGATCGGTTTTCCGGCCGTGGAGTCGAGGTTTCGAGAGGCGGAGATGTCGTCTTTGAGCAGAGAATTGGTTTTTCTCATACTTCAGTTCCTGGAAGAAGAGAAGTTCAAGGAGTCTGTTCACAGGTGAGTTTTATACGTTTTTCTTTTCTCTCTCTGTACATATGGATTACGTGTTCTTTATGTTTTTGTTTATTTGAGAGTGTTTATGTGGGAGAATGAAAGAGAAGCGGAGGAATTGAAAGCGGAATTGTGAACCTCAAGTTTTATTTGTTAGTTTTGATTTTTGTAAGAGAATTAGTGCAATTGAGTCAAATAGTGGTGTTAATTTTGGTTTTATTGGTGGATTTGCTTCATATTTTTTAAAATTGATGAAAAATTGTAAAATTTAAAGCGTAACACTTTTCATTTATTACTGTAAAGGTTAATAATTTAGTTGAAATTTGTTGAACTCCAAGTGATTTTGATGATAACAAAACTAGCCAAATTTGAAGACTCCAATTCATCCCTCTTGGAGTATTTGAGCCAACAAAATTAAAGTGTCCATTGGTGGAAACTGGAAGGAGGACAAAAACTGATAAGGAAATTTCCTGCGTTGAATTAATAATAATAATAATATTATTATTAATAATAATAATATTATTATTATTAATAATAATAATATTATTATTATTACTATTTTTTCTGTATGCGTTTAAGTTGTTATCATTGCCTAGATGTGTAATTGACCCTTAAAACAAGCAAATTGTTAGGGTGTGAGTTCTGGTAATTGAATGACAGGGCTTCATTTTAAGGATTCAAGTGATGAAAACTGTTTCAAGTTTTGTTTCTCCATGTCATCACATTACATGTCATGCAAACTAGAGTAAAATTGTTATGTTGCTTGCTTTAAATGTTTTACGCTGTGTCGGTTATCAGAAGAGCGAAGAAATAGGAAGACATTAATGATAACTAACTTTGAAAAAGCTACTTTCATCTGCCATATCAAAAAATAAATGCAATTATATTGTTGTTTTTCTAAGTTAAGGTGCCAAATGAGACATAATAAATTGAATGTGTTGGAACTTGGAAGTACACCAAAGACAGTGTTCCCTGCTTAGTGGACAAATGGGGAAAAGGTCTTACAGTTTCTCCTTTCCTTAGCATGTGTCCTGGGTACGTGTTTGGAATTAGCAGTTAACCAGATTGCTGATCTATTTTTGTAAAAATATTTTTTTGTAGGCTTGAGAAAGAATCAGGGTTTTTCTTCAACATGAAGTACTTTGAGGAGAAAGTTCAGGCTGGAGAATGGGATGAAGTTGAGAAGTATTTGTCTGGTTTTACCAAAGTTGATGATAACAGATATTCCATGAAAATATTCTTTGAGATAAGGAAGCAGAAGTATCTAGAAGCTCTTGATCGGTATAATGAATATTTATTTTTTATTTATGAATACATTTTTCTTTATTTGGAAAGAGTATGATGTTTTTTCTTCGGTTATTTATTCAATATTGTAGGCAAGACAAGGCAAAGGCAGTTGAAATATTAGTGAATGATTTGAAGGTGTTCTCAACATTTAATGAGGAATTATACAAAGAAATCACTCAGCTTTTAACACTTAACAATTTCAGGTAATTTTGTTTCACATATCAGGTGTGTAGATTATCTGTCAAGTATAGCATTGATAGTTGGTAACTCTATATGGATCGTTTTGGGCTCGCCAAAATTTTAGGAATAAAAGAACATACTAGGCAAGTTTAAAATTTTCTTATTATGATAAAATTTTAGAAATTGAAGCTTTTTCTCCTTTGAGCTTAATTCAGTGCTTGACATTGTTGTGAAAGCTTTTTCTGTTGCATATGAGCCAAATCAAGTGAATTTATCATGCAATCTTAGGTAGAACTATGTAAATTGCATACACAAGTTATTATTTAATGTTATGCTATTGTATTGTTCTCATCCTCTACTCTGTTATTCTCATCACGAGTACAGGGAAAATGAGCAGCTATCAAAGTATGGTGACACAAAAACAGCTCGCAGCATAATGTTGATAGAGCTGAAAAAACTAATTGAAGCAAATCCACTTTTCCGTGATAAACTTGTTTTCCCTACCTTGAAGTCTTCAAGATTGAGGACTCTAATCAATCAAAGGTGAAGTGGATACAACACTCTTGTGTTCTGCTTACAATTGTTACTGTTTTTTGTTTTTTAAGTTCTTACATTTAAGAAGCAATCAGGAGTGGCTTCGGTTTTCATGGACTGTTTTCCAGTTTTTGTTCAAATAATGAATATAACTGCTTGTTTTTTAAGTTACACAACACTCTGTTTTTGTTTTCTTGTTTTTGTTCTACTGACTGTTGCTATCATCATAATTATTCTGCTGTCGGTAGTCAAAGCTATTTTACTTTATGCTTTGTAATATCCATAGAAAGGAGGGTACCTCCCTCATTTTCTGCTGTAATGGTTCTTCTTTTTTCCTACCAATATATGAATTGTTAGTATTGGTCCATGCAGCTTGAACTGGCAGCACCAACTATGTAAGAACCCCAGGCCAAATCCAGATATCAAGACCTTATTTACAGATCACGCATGTACACCTCCAAATGGTCCACTTGCACCCACACCCGTCAACCTTCCAGTCGCTGCTGTTGCAAAGTCTGCTGCTTATACCCCACTTGGAGCTCATGGTGTATGATATTACATGCCTTTGTATTTTTTCTATTTGCATTTGCAGCTGTATCTATCAATTTAAGTAATCTCCTCAGTCCTCACTCCAACAATGTTGACTAATAAAGACTTGTCTCACATCTTGTGATGCAGCCCTTTCCACCAACTGCAGCTGCAGCCAATGCTGGAGCTTTAGCAGGTTGGATGGCCAATGCTTCTGCATCTTCATCTGTTCAAGCTGCTGTTGTTACTGCATCATCCATACCTGTCCCACAAAATCAAGGTTAGAACTACAAGAAGTTGGTATACAGCTTTTATTTTTGGGAAAATTTGCAACTTCTGGGGAAATGTTGGGCTGTGTGGGATCAGTGAATAATACTTGAGTGTTATTATTGTTTATAAGTTCTGGATGCATAAGGGAATTGAATCTCGTCTCCAGTTCACTTGAAATCTATGATATGTTAATTAGCATTTTCATGTCACTCCTTTGCTTTACCACGGTAGACCTTAGAAGTGTTCTCTATACAGAAATCTCTTAATATTTAATAATGTTAAAGGTATCTCACTGGCCTAAAAAATTAATGTTAATGAATCTCAGAAAGGTGTATAAGTTGATATGATTTATATTTCCATTTAAGTAGTCCCAGTTTTAAAACGGCCAAGAACACCTCCTGCAGCACCAGGCATGGTTGACTATCAGAACACTGATCATGAGCTGATGAAACGCTTGCGGGCTGCCCCATCCATAGAGGAGGTAGTTCAAAGTTCTTATTACTTCTTTTTATGAAATTCAGAATAAATTATTTTGATTTGATCAGTTTTTATGCATTGTACTGATTCTTGGAGTTAATATATGTTTTTTCTTTGCTTCATTTTTTAGGTTACATATCCAACAGCAAGGCAGCAAGCTTGGTCACCAGATGACCTGCCAAGAACTGTAGCTATTACTATGCATCAAGGATCTGCCATTCTAAGCATGGATTTTCATCCTTCTCACCACACGTTGCTTCTTGGTATGAAAGTTCAGCTTTTGTTTAGACATAAGTTTTGGTGATCCTGATTTTAAAGCTAATTATTTTGACCATGTTTAAGCTCTTTACTCATTTTCTAACTGGATGTTGTTCATGTAGTTGGTTCTGGTAATGCGGAAATTACACTCTGGGAACTGGGGCCGCGGGAGAGGTTGGTTTCAAAGCCATTCAAGGTCTGGGATATGGCACAATGTACATTGCCATTTCAGGTTTGTATGTTGTTACTTAGGTTTCTCATGTTTCAAAAAATTGGCACAGCTAATTGGGGACTTATTTTTGAGAGTTAAATGCAGGCATCAATAGTCAAAGATCCACTAATATCTGTCAACCGTGTTGCCTGGAGTCCAGATGGGAACTGTGTTGGTAGGTGCCCTTCTGACAACATAGCCAGTATTTTTAAGGTGCACATCCTTATATTTATTTTCGTTCTTGCTGCAGGGGTTGCATTTACAAAACATTTAATTCATTTGTATTCTTATTCTGGATCAAGTGATCTACGCCAGCTAAAAGAGGTAGGTCTATGGTTTACTTCTTCCCAGCTAGGTATAATTTGTAACTGCTGCTTAAATTTGTTTACAATCACAGATTGATGCCCATGGTGGTAGTGTTAATGATTTGGCTTTTGCTCATCCAAGCAAGCAACTTTGTGTGGTTACTTGTGGGGATGACAAGCTCATAAAGGTGAGGGATGGTAAATTCTCATGAAAAGTTTTGATTAAATTGGAAAATTTTCATTATCTAAATGAAAGAAGTGGCACAGGTGTGGGATTTAAGTGGACAGAAACTGTTCACCTTTGAAGGCCATGATGCACAAGTATATTCTATTTGTCCACATCACAAGGAGAGCATTCAGGTAATATTTGTTGTTGGTGCTCCATTGAGTTTGTTGGTAACCCTATGGGTACAACTGAATTGCAGCTGCTGTTCAAAATGGGGTTTCTGGTACTTTCATTTGTTAATTTTCCGTGGTCAATCTTTTATCACAGTTCATATTTTCAACTGCTGTTGATGGTAAAATCAAGGCTTGGCTGTATGACAATATGGGTTCCAGAGTTGACTATGATGCTCCTGGTTTGTCGTGTACGACAATGCTTTACAGTGCTGATGGTAGTAGGTATGCCCGTGAAATTTTTAAACATTATGCCATCCATCTTTTGTACTTATTTAGAACTCTCTTTTTCTCCTTCCTTTTGTGGTTTGATGTGTTCTTTTGATCTCATTTATTTATTCTGATTTTGTTTTGCAGATTGTTCTCTTGTGGAACAAGCAAAGAAGGGGAGTCTTATCTAGTTGAGTGGAATGAAAGTGAAGGAGCAATTAAGAGGACTTATGCTGGGTTTAGAAAGAAATCAAATGGTGTGGTTTCGTTTGACACAACACAAAATCGCTTTTTGGCTGCAGGTGAAGATAGCCAGATAAAATTTTGGGATATGGACGGTATCAATCTTCTTACTGCAATAGATGCCGAGGGTGGACTTCCTGTAAGTTGAATGGTTACATTCCTTTGCTCTTGTGCTGAACATCTTTTCCTTTTGATTTGGTTATCACTTTATCTGCTAATTCCATCAGAGTCTTCCTCGCTTGAGATTCAATAAGGAAGGAAATCTCCTGGCTGTCACTACAGCAGACAATGGATTCAAAATACTTGCAAATGCTGTTGGTCTCAGATCCTTAAGAGCAACTGAGGCACCATCTTTTGAAGCGTTGAGAACATCCATCAATCCTGTTTCACTTAAGGTTATAGTCATTTCTCTTGTTCTGCTTGATGTTCCCTAATAATGCTTTTCTTGTGATATGCAAATTTCTAACCTAGTTTGGTGGCTAGGTTTCCGGCACTTCTGCAGTTGCTAGTGTTGGTCCTGTCAATTGTAAAGTGGAAAGGAGCTCCCCTGTTAGGCCTCCTCCAGTACTGGTATGTTGGTTGAATGTGAGCTTGTTTCCTAAATGATGAATCTCAGTTGAAGCTGCAAACTTAAACCAATGGTTAGGTATCAATTGGGTTGGCTTTTACAGTACTTTTCCTGGTTTTTCCCAAAGCGCCACAATGCTTTTGGGTCTTTCTGTCCTGGGCAAATTTTTAGGAATTACTTTTTCAAAAAGTCATACATGGCCACAATAATAGTTGATATTAAAAATATTAATACAATTCCAAAAACACCCATTCATAATTTTACCATCTTCAAATCCTAATGTTTTTTTTCTTTCTTTTGGGATTTCCTTTTTGGTACTTTTTTCACAGCCACAACACTACAGAGCAATCCCAAACAGAGAAACAGACCCTTAATATTGTTGGTTACTAGTAGGAACGCAAATTTAGCTTTAGGGGAAATTTTAGGGCTTAAACCTTTTTCACCTTTAATAATTGTTTGGTATGTACCACATTTAACTTCTTGTGTTTCAAAGGGGAACCAAGGAGCTCTACCAGTTGTAAATTTTATTTTATTTTATTTTTTTCCTTTTTTCTTTTTTGATTGACAGCTGTGAATGATTTTTAAAGGGGGATATTACAAGTGGACCCCAAAATTTGAAGTTTCTTCTTGTGAATGCTTTTATTCATGCATTTAATTTTATTGTTTTGGGCTTTTTATCTATCTTCAAGAATGGAGTTGATCCGATGGGTAGAAGTGTTGAAAAGCCAAGAACTTTGGATGATGCAATGGACAAGACGAAACCCTGGCAGTTAGCTGAAATTGTGGACCCTGTTCAGTGTCGTCTAGTCACTTTGCCTGAAAGCACAGATGCTTCTAGCAAGGTTTGTTCATTTTCTTTTAGGTAATTATTTTTCATGCCACTCTTCTACACATAGCTAAATAAAAGCATTCTTGAAGGTTGTTCGACTTCTATATACAAATTCTGGTGTTGGCATTTTGGCACTTGGGTCAAACGGAGTTCAGAAGCTATGGAAGTGGCCTCGAAATGAACAAAATCCCAATGGAAAGGTAATTTCCAGATGATAATAATTTCAGTTATTCTTTTCCTTGCAGATAAATGATTGATCCTCTTAACTTTTCAAATAATTTTATGAGATTATGTTTTGTTGTTGAAGAGATCTCTGAAGCCAGTTAAACTCTAAAGGCCACTGCTAGTGTTGTTCCTCCACATTGGCAACCAAACAGTGGTCTTCTTATGTCAAATGATGTCACAGGTGTCAATGTTGAAGAAGCAGTCCCGTGCATAGCACTCTCAAAGAATGACTCATATGTAATGTCAGCTACTGGTGGAAAAGTTTCATTGTTCAACATGATGACTTTCAAGGCATGTTAGGCGGTTTTTTCTTTTGGCCAACATTAGGGCATGTTTAGGTATCTAAAATTTAGGAAATTTTTGCATCTTTTTTTTTTTTCTAATAATACCTGGTTTGCAGGTGATGACAACATTCATGGCTCCTCCACCTGCTTCAACCTTCCTAGCATTCCATCCTCAGGATAATAATATCATAGCCATTGGAATGGAGGATTCCACCATACACATTTACAATGTTAGGGTGGATGAGGTGATTACTTCATAACACTGTTTCTATGCATGCTTATTATTCTTTCTCTCCATGGGATTTTTCTTGCTCACTTGAATGGGATCTGAGCTATTTATTTTGATTTTTCTAGGTTAAATCAAAATTGAAGGGTCATCAAAAGCGAATAACTGGTTTAGCCTTTTCAACCAATCTTAATATCTTGGTTTCATCTGGCGCTGATGCTCAAGTAAGTGGAATCCAGGATTGACAATGTTACCTATCTTTATTTAGATCCTATTTATGAGGTTTAAATGATATGAACATTTATAAACCAAACCAGATTCTCTATGGTGTGGTTCTCAAGGTGTTTCTGTGATATCATTTCATTCCATGTCCTGATGTCATCATGTGTCTTCTTCATTTGATTTGTATTTATTAAGTCTTTTTAGTCTCTGCAAATATGATTCTATTATAAGCCATACTTTGAAATTTGATCAAATGTCATCATAAATCATCTCAATATTTTCTTTATATATGAAGCTTTGTGTGTGGAGTATTGATACCTGGGAGAAAAGAAAGTCAGTTACCATACAAATTCCAGCAGGAAAGGCACCTACTGGTGATACACGAGTTCAATTTCACACGGATCAAATACGCATGCTGGTAGTTCATGAGACTCAACTAGCCATATATGATGCCTCCAAAATGGAACGTATTAGACAGGTAGGCAGTTGACATAAATCCAACAATATTTTGTCATCTATAAAGTGATGGCATTTCTTATACATTTATCTCGTGCAGTGGATCCCACAAGATGGCCTGTCAGCTCCAATATCTTATGCAGCATACTCTTGCTACAGCCAATTGGTTTATGCTTCCTTCTGTGATGGTAACATTGGGGTGTTTGATGCTGATACCCTGAGACTTAGATGCCGTGTTGCTCCATCAGCGTACTTGCCCCAATCTATCTTAAGCGGGTAAGTTAGGGCATCATCACTTAGTACAGAATCCCAAAGAGATTTTTCTGGTGCCAATCTAATGACAAACTCTTTCTATCTTTTCCAAATTTTTTATACTGACTCTTGGGTGTATTATTTTACAGAAGTCAAGCTGTATACCCTCTTGTTGTCGCCGCAAATCCAAACGATCCAAACCAATTTGCGATTGGATTGACAGATGGATCTGTTAAAGTGATGGAGCCAATAGAGTCAGAAGGAAAGTGGGGGGCGAGTCCACCTGTTGATAATGGAATCCTAAGTGGCAGAACGACTTCATCATCAACCACAAGCAACCATACACCAGAACAATTACAAAGATGAGAAATATTTAAGAATCATCCCTAATTTATGTAGATTATTAGGTTTTCAATCTTCATGTATGTCTAGCAAAGCTAAGCTTGGAAAGATTGTTGTATTACTCGCAGTTGTTGTAGTTTACCGTAGTTATTAATTATTCTTCTCTACCTTCTTGTCGTTGGAATGGCTTGTGGCTAGAAATGCTTACTGTATTGATTTGTTTTTTCCTTCTTTTTTTTTTTTTTTTAATAAACTTAATTGTAATTTTGATTTCCCGAAGGTTCTTGGACGATTTCTAAGGGTGGTTTCGTAATGTTGTTTTCAAATGTCTTATTCAGACAACTTTATGGTCGGCGGAAAGACTTTAGCTCTTGATCTTGGGTGTAAAACCAGACAATATATATATATAGGGGTTAATATGTATTAGTTTTAATTTTTTTTAAAAATTGAAATTTTAATTTATTTTTTAAAATTAAAATTTCAATTTAAAATTTAAAAATTTACTTTATTAAATATTGATATTTAGATTTAAAAATTGATTATATATTTAAATATAATTAGTTTTTAAATCTAAATATTATATTTAATAAGATGGGTTAATAAAAAACATTTAATAAGATGAATTTTTGAATTTTGAATTGAATTT